CCTGGTGTCGCAAAATTTAAAAAAAAAAAAAAAGTTTCTTATGAAATGATAGAGAATCTTTTCCCGATTTGTAATGACACCAAGAGAACAAAATTTGATGGAAAACTGACGGAATTACACTCGCGAAGTTAGCGACCTCGGCGATATTTACAAATTGGCTATTTCGCCCACTTTGAGCCCTATTTTCGGCTAATTCCATTGTTCTACTCGACCAAACTCGAAGCTATTTCTTTAGAACTCCATTTTTTCTATCGATTGAGTACAAGAAACTGCCCATTTACCGATTTCAACTACCCAATAACGTGGTCAGAAATTTGCAATTTGGCCAATTTTATGAAAATTAAAAAATATGACTTTTCAAAATAAGGTCCAGAATGAACAATGCAGACATTCCTGGCTCTAAAATAACATTTTCTTTGTTCATCAGTCATGTCTCCAGGCCCCTCTGATATTACTCTTGCTTTCTATTTTGAATTTTTATTCAAACAAAAAATAGAAGATTTACTGTTATGCAGACTACTGCAATACTGTAATAATTGTACAAATAATGTCAACCCACTGATGACTGCATATTAGAATGGCTAGTTGGACATTTATTGGAAAATGACATCACTTTTGAACATCGGCAAAAATCAAACGTTTCCCGTACTTTGAGCTCCATTTCCAGGTTCTTTTTATAGTAAAACCAATCAAAATCACCTCTATTTCTATAATATGTTTTCCATTCTATCAAATGAGACCAAGAAAATGAGAATACAACCATAAATCTTTCTTTCAACACACCGGCCGTATCCCACGAAGGCAGGGTGGCCCAAAAAGAAAAACGAAAGTTTCTCTTTTAAATTTAGTAATTTATACTGGAGAAGGGATTACTAGCCCCTTGCTCCCGGCATTTTAGTCGCCTCTTACAACACGCATGGCTTACGGAGGAAGAATTCTGTTCCACTTCCCCATGGAGATAAGAGGAAATAAACAAGAACAAGAACTGGAAAGAAAATAGAAGAATACCCAGAGGGGGTGTGTATATATATGCTTGTACATATATGTGTTGTGTGACCTAAGTGCAAGTAGAAGTAGCAAGACATACCTGATATCTTGCATGTTTCTTCTTCTTTCAACACACCGGCCGTATCCCACCGAGGCGGGGTGGCCCAAAAGGAAAAACGAAAGTTTCTCCTTTTACATTTAGTAATATATACAGGAGAAGAGGTTACTAGCCCCTTGCTCCCGGCATTTTAGTTGCCTCTTACAACACGCATGGCTTACGGAGGAAGAATTCTGTTCCACTTCCCCATGGAGATAAGAGGAAATAAACAAGAATAAGAACTAGAAAGAAAATAGAAGAAAACCCAGAGGGGTGTGTATATATGTGCTTGTACATGTATGTGTAGTGTGACCTAAGTGTAAGTAGAAGTAGCAAGACGTACCTGAAATCTTGCATGTTTATGAGACAGAAAAAAGACACCAGCAATCCTACCATCATGTAAAACAATTACAGGTTTTCGTTGTACACTCACTTGGCAGGATGGTAGTACCTCCCTGGGTGGTTGCTGTCTACCAACCTACTACCTATACAACCATAAATACTATACGAAAATGGACCACAAAGTTGACATTTTAATTAAAAAAATCGGTTGTAGTTTTTTTTTCTCATCATGCACTGCGTGCTCCAGGATTTTTTTTATATGGTGCACACTGACCACACAGACCCATTCTCTCACATGTGGGCCTACCAGCTTTCTCCTGCTTGATTTGAAGCCGCTAGAATTTTTGAGTACATATATGTCAAACACGTTGGCTCGTAAGATGTATATATACGACCGAAACAGTCAAAGGGTTAATGAATTTCAGCACAGTTTTACAGAGGCAATCCTGCCTTACGAATTTACTAACTTTTTTCACCAAGGTATTTGAGGAGGTAGATCATGGTAATGAATATGATATTGTGTATATGGACTTCAATTAGGCTTTTGATAGAGTTCCACATCAGAGGCTCTTGAGGAAAATTAGCCCTTTGTCGCAACCCCAAATCCCAAGGTGTCTCCTGGTGTCGAAAAATTTTAGAAAAAAAATTATTTTTCTTATGAAATGATAGAGAGTCTTTTCCCGATGGTAATGACACCAAAAGAATGAAATTTGATGGAAAGCTTACGGAATTACGCTCTTGCGAAGTTAGCGACCTCGGCGATATTTACGAATCTGCGATTTTGCCCACTTTGAGCTCTATTTTCGGCTAATTCCATTGTTCCAGTCGACCAAACTCGTAGTTATTTCTTTAGAACTCCATTTGTTCTATCAATTGAGTACAAGAAACTGCCCATTTACCAATTTCAACTACGCAATAAAGTGGTCAGAAATTGGCAATTTGGCCAATATCACGCAAATTAAAAAATATGCCAGTTTCAAAATAGGGTCCAGAATGAACAGTGCAGACATTCCTGGCTCTAAAATAACATTTCTTTGTTCATCAGTCACGTCTCCAGGCCCCTCTGGTATAACTTGCTTTCTATTTTGAATTTTTATTCAAACAAAAAATAGAAGGTTTACTATACTGTAATGCTGACTACTGCAATATTGTAATAATTGTATAAATACTGTCATCCCATTCATGACTGCATATTAGAATGGCTAGTTGGACATTTATTGGACAATGAGGTCATTTGTTTACTCTTGAACATCTGCAAAAATGAAACATTTCCCCTACTTTGAGCTCCATTTCAAGGTCCTTTTCATAGAAAAACCAATGAAAATCACCTCTCTTTCTACAATATGTTTTCCATTCTATCAAATGAGACCAAGAAAACGAGAATGCAGCCATAAATACTTTATGAAAATACACCACTAAATCGGCGCTTTAATCCAAAAACATGGTCTGAGTTTTTTTTCTCATGCACTACGTGCTGCAGGATTTTTTTATATGGTGCACACTGACCACACAGACCTGTTCTCTCACATGTGGGCCTACCAGCTTTCTCCTACTTGATTTGAAGCCGCTAGAATTTTTGAATACATATACAGTAGACCCCGGATGTTTAACGAACATTTTTCATTCCAGTAGTATTTCAGGGCCGGATTGATCGATTTTTTTCCCTATAAGGACATTTGTGAAGTTATTAGTCCATTTTATGACCCCCAAACATTACACGTACAAACAGCATTAATCAAAATTACACTTACTTATATTAGTGCATTTGGAGAGTGATCGTTAAGCGGGGTCCTACTGTTATATATGTCAAAAACACTTTGGCTGTAGATTATGTATAACCGAACAGTCAAGGGTTAAGTTCTTGCAAAAGTTTCTAGGGCCCGGATTTGTTTGGTTTTAATTTTTATTTCTAGACCATTATCTGTAGTTACTTTAATCGTGCATAGTTTATTATCCTCCTATTCTTTGTAATTTATTTCTGGAATTTCACTAGTATCTTCTGCATAAAAACTGAGAGAAAATAAGAGTCAAAAATTTCACACATTCTTTATCACTGTCAGTGATCTGACCTGAGTGACTTTTGAATGGGCCTATCATGTCCCTAATATAACTTCTATATACCTGAAAGAAACCTTTTGGGTTAGACTTTGAATCCCTTGCCACTTTAGCCTCATAATCTCTCTAAGCTTTTCTTAATCCCTATTTTATTTCTCTTTAATTGAATATATAAATTTCTTAACTCCCCATCCCCTCTTTTGATATGCCTATATTTGCCTCTGTTTTGACTAATGAGATGTTTTAATCTATTGTTTATCCATTTGGAATCATTTTTGATTGATCTAATTTCCCTACTTGGAAAATAAGTTGTCTGGGCAGCTAGAACTATGCTCTGAAAAACGTCATATTGGCAACCAGCACCACCTACCTGACAGTCAAGTTGTTCCAATTTAGCCCACCCAGGTAATTTCTCATTAGTGCTTCTGTGGAATAACTATTTCTTGCTTTTTTTATATATATATTTTTCTCTAGTGCACCTTTGTACAGGTACAATGATTTTTCCAGCAACAGATGGTCCAGCACCTCTTTTAGTCCAGACAATTATGAGATTAGTTTTTTGTTAGACTAATTTACTGGGCAGCCATAGATGGCATTGTGTGTACTATGTGATCAATTATGTTGGTGACACTGCAATTGTTAGTGTTGATCCTGTGATTTTGTGCAATTCTTAGCATTTTTTTTGATAAGGGTATTGACAAGTTAGTTGTGTTGTCATGTGAATTAAGGGGCTATAGCAATGTTGATGACAAGAGCTTATGAATTTTTATTTGATACATGAAAAACTGTACAGGGGAAGATGAAAGCACACGAAACTTTTTTTTTTTTTTTTTTTAATAAACAGTATTATAAGTGCTGGATATTTTAGTTTCACGTTTAATGTAACTGGAAATTATTCAGACTATTTATGAAGGGGTTCAGGGAAACCGGCAGGCCAGATCTGAGTCCTGGAGATGGGAAGTACAGTGCCTGCACTCTGAACGAGGGGTGTTAATGTTGCAGTTTAAAAACTGTAGTGTAAAGCACCCTTCTGGCAAGACAGTGATGGAGTGAATGATGGTGAAAGTTTTTCTTTTTCGGGCCACCCTGCCTTGGTGGGAATCGGCCAGTGTGATAAAAAAAAAAAAATATTTTTCTTATTTGTTTTGCCGATTGTCTCCATCAGATTGCTAAATGTGTAGATTCAGAATTTATTCTTTAAATTTGTAAAGGTTATAGGGCTTACAAATTAGTGATGAATAGTGACAGAAATTAAGTTACTTAAGATATAACCTCCCTGGGTTATTTACTACTTGTTGAGCAATATGTGTGTTGTAATTTTAAAGATAAAAAAATATTGAAGCATCAATATCAGTATTGACTTATTGAGTATGGATATCTGCAACAATTTTGATATCCTATCTGTATTCATTTTACCCCTCTCTCATCTAATAACTTCACAGTTTGTCAGTCACCAGCAAATTCAGTTTACCAGTTTTCAGTTGCCAGTTTTTATTAGAGCATTATTGTTTGTTTCCAGATTGAACACCCTGCAGCCAAATTGATGGTCTTGGCTTCCCAAATGCAGGAACAAGAAATGGGTGATGGTACCAATTGGGTCATAATGTTTGCTGGAGCACTTCTAGAAGGTGCAGAAGATCTTATTCGCATGGGCCTTATACCCACAGATGTAGCTGATGGATACCAGTTAGCTCTGAATAAAGCTTTGGAAGTTTTACCAAGTTTAACTTGTTGGGAAGTTACTGACCCAAGGAATGTTGAACAGGTAAGTTTGAAAAGAGAACATGTATGAATAGTATATAAATCTCAAAATTTATTTATTCTTGTTAGTTTTTCCTTACACATTGGTAGTTTCCTACCTGTCTTAAAATTAAAGGGCTTCCATCATTGCCTTTCTTCAGAACTGATATCCAAATGAATCCCTTCATAGATATTCTGCTTTCTTTTAAAAACGAATCAAATCACCAAGGACCCTTTCATTGTCCAGACTCCTGTCTGTCTCTGGGTCTCTCTCTGACAGACTCGGAGAACACAAAAGTAGTATTAGGCTTGCCAACATCAACAATACTTTTTTCTGTCATGTCAGAGATCACGGTCATCCTATTGACTGGTCTTCTGCTAAAGCTGTCTACCCTACTTCTAACTTTCACAGTCGCCGTCTGGTTGAATTTTCCCGTATACACAATTTTCCTTGTGTGAATCTTAGCCCTGGCTTTGTCTCTGTAGATGCCTTCTTTTCCCATTACATTGTAAAATGCTCCAAACTTCAGAACACCTGTGAGTTAACTTGATTCTTTTTTCCCCCTCTCCATTTTTCCCTTTCCTCTTTCTCCTTTGGGTTTTCATTCTTCAGCCTCTGAGGGTAGTGTGAGGGGGAAGTCACGTGCGGTCGAGCTCCGTCAAAAATTACTTTTTCTGATAGTCCCAAGTGGGAACAGAAGGCGGGAAATAAGCGTGTGCATCCATAAAGTGATATACAGTAGACCCTCGCCTAACGAACGCATCGCATAACGTTAAATCCGCCTAGCGATACATTTTAATGCAAAAAATTTTGCCTCGGCTAGCGCTAAAAAACTCGCTCAACGCGATTCGTTTGAGATGTGTCCACATGCGGCCTGAGCCTACCTCACTTGTTCTGTGGGTGTCAGTGTTTACAAGCCAGCCACCACGGTCGCTTCCAAGAATACAATCGGAACATTTCATATTATCATAGCCTTTTTAGTGATTACACCTGCAAAATAAGTCACCATAGGCCCCAAGAAAGCTTCTAGTGCCAACTCTACAGCAGAAAGGGGTGAGAATTACTATGGATATGAAGAAAGAGATCATTGCTAAGTATGAAAGTGGAGTGCGTGTCTCTGAGCTGGCCAGGTTGTACACAAAACCCCAATCAACCATCGCTACTATTGTGGCCAAGAAAACGGCAATCAAGGAAGCTGTTCTTGCCAAATGTGCAACTTTGTTTTTGAAACAGAGATCGCAAGTGATAGAAGATGTTGAGAGACTGTTATTGATGTGGATAAATGAAAAACAGATAGGAGATAGCATCTCTCAAGCGATCATATGTGAAAAGGCTAGGAAGTTGCATGAGGATTTAATTAGAAAAATGCCAGCAACTAGTGGTGATGTGAGTGAATTTAAGGCCAGCAAAGGTTGGTTTGAGAGATTTAAGAATCATAGTGGCATACATAGTGTGATAAGGCATGGTGAGGCTGTCAGTTCGGACCACAAAGCGGCTGAAAAATATGTGCAGGAATTCAAGGAGTACATAGACAGTGAAGGACTGAAACCTGAACAAGTGTTTAATTGTGATAAAACAGGCCTGTTTTGGAAGAAAATGCCAAGCAGGACGTACATTACTCAGGAGGAAAAGGCACTCCCAGGACATAAGCATATGAAAGACATGCTTACTCTGTTGGTGTGTCAATGCTAGTGGTGATTGCAAAGTGAAGCCTTTATTGGTGTATCACTCTGAAACTTCCAGAGTGTTCAGGAAAAACAATGTCCTCAAGGCTAATTTGTGTGTGCTGTGGAGGGCGAACAGTAAGGCATGGGTCACTAGGAACTTTTTCTATGACTGGTTATACCATGCATTTGCCCCCACTGTGAAAAATTACCTAATTGAAAAGAAATTAGACCTTAAGTGCCTCCTGGTATTAGACAATGCTCCTGGTCATCCTTCAGACGTGGCAGAGCGACTTTCTGCGGAAATGAGCTTCATTAAGGTCAAATTTTTGCCTCCTAATACCACTCCTCTCCTGCGGCCCATGGACCAGCAGGTCATTTCCAACTTCAAGAAACTGTACACAAAAGCTATGTTTGAAAGGTGCTTTGTAGTGACCTCAGAAACTCGGTTGACTCAAGAGAGTTTTGGAGAGATCACTTTAGGATCCTCAATTGTGTAAACATTATAGGTAAGGCTTGGGAGGAAGTGACTAAGAGGACCTTGAACTCTGCTTGAAAGAAACTGTGGCCAGAATGTGTAGACAAAAGGGATTTTGAAGGGTTTGAGGATAACCCTGGGAATCCTATGCCAGTTGAGGAATCCATTGTGGAAGTCCTTGGGGTTGGAGGTTAGTGGGGAGGATGTGGAAGAGCTGGTGGAGGAGGACAATGAAGAACTAACCACTGATGAGCTGCTAGATCATCTTGAACAACAAGAGGGCAGACCTGAGGAAACTGCTTCGGAGGAGGGGATAGAGAAATTGAAGAAGTTGCCTACTTCTAAGATTAAGGAAATGTGTATAAAGTGGCTTGAAGTGCAAACCTTTTTTGGTGAAAATCACCCTGACACAGCTACTGCAAACCGTGTTGGCAACCTGTACACTGACAGTGTTGTGAACCACTTAAGGAAAGTCATAAAGGAACGAGAGGTATAGGTATCTATGGACAGACATGTTGTGCGACAGAAGTCCAGTGACTCTGAAGCTGGTCCTAGTGGCATTAAAAGAACAAGGGAAGTAACCCCAGAAAAAGACTTGCTACCTCAAGTGCTAATGGAAGGGGATTCCCCTTCTAAACACTAAGAAGATCAACGGTCTCCCCTCCTCCCATCCCATCAGTCATCACCAGATCTTCAATAAAGGTAAGTGTCATGTAACTGTGCATGTCTTCTTCAGTTTGTGTGTATTAAAATTAATATTTCATGTGGTAAATTTTTTTTTTCAATACTTTGGGGTGTCTTGCACGGATTAATTTGATTTCCATTATTTCTTTTGGGGAAAATTAACTTGACTACCGATTATTTCGATTAACGATGAGCTCTCAGGAATGGATTAATATCGCCGGTTGAGGGTCCACTTATCATGTGGGAGTTCGTACACGTGGATAGGGTAAAGTAATACTCACGTAGGCTGGAAGTACGTATAATTACGGATAGTGTGGGGAGCGCCCTAACAGCCGTAACCTTGTCTCCTTGCTCACTCTCGTAACACTGACTGGCCGCCCACAGTACCCAAATGTGAGGGGGTCTTTGAATACTGCTGTGGTCAGCACAATGTGAATAGACAGTGACTCAGGCAGAGACGGTTGGTAGTGAGTCAACTACTGGTACACTGGTTACTGGTAACTGGTTACTACTACTGAGAGCTCGGCGATGCTAACATATGTCGTCCTGACATACAACTAATACAAACTAGAGATGGCAGGTATACGGCTTGGGCTGATTCTATACAATGTCAAAGTACACAACAATTAAACATTATAACATACATAAGTAGAACATTGGAATGGAAGCTTACGTAACTGAAACTGTAATGCAATACAAGTACGTAAGCTTCCATTCCAATGTTCTACTTATGTATGTTATAATGTTTAATTGTTGTGTACTTTGACATTGTATAGAATCAGCCCAAGCCGTATACCTGCCATCTCTAGTTTGTATTAGTTGTATGTCAGGACGACATATGTTAGCATCGCCGAGCTCTCAGTAGTAGTAACCAGTTACCAGTAACCAGTGTACCAGTAGTTGACTCACTACCAACCGTCTCTGCCTGAGTCACTGTCTATTCACATTGTGCTGACCACAGCAGTATTCAAAGACCCCCTCACATTTGGGTACTGTGGGCGGCCAGTCAGTGTTACGAGAGTGAGCAAGGAGACAAGGTTACGGCTGTTAGGGTGCTCCCCACACTATCCGTAATTATACGTACTTCCAGCCTACGTGAGTATTACTTTACCCTATCCACGTGTACGAACTCCCACATGATAAATGGTGGCAGAGGTGGGATCGATGAAGAGCTTCTTTAGCAAGTCTGATAAGACTTTCCTCTGAAGGAGGACCTTCAACTAGAGCACCAGCACGAGAACGAATGGCCGCAAACCATGCTTCAAGACTATGTACATGGCCATTGAATAAAGGTAACGCATCAAGGGAATCACGAGTATAACTATAGTATCTCGGTGTCTGGGTCGGTCTGTCAGTCGGTAAGGAACTGTGAGGACTGATAACAGGGGCAACAGTAGCCTGAGAGGTCTGAGTGTCGACATTCACTAAAGTATCACTTGACGGTATGTGAGACATAATGGCAAAGTTGCACGAGAACAAATAAGGCAAAAATAATGAACAATAAAAATGATACAAAATGCTAAAATTGAAATAAAAGAGATGCAACTAATTCTGCAGAAGTAATAAAAAATGTCTAAGATACACTGCAAGAGGAAGGACAACTCAATGTAAAGGACTGTTGGCCAAGAAAAAAATTTACATTGAAATATACAAGTAAAAATATTACTGGAGACTGAATTAAATGCAAAATGAGCTGTCGTTACTCTTGCTAATAAAAAAAGTAATTAATAAAATTTTAAATCAATTTAAAAAGTAGAAAATAAAATGACTAAATTGTTAACTGGGAAATTTAAGTATTTTCTAAGAATGCATAAACAAAATTAAAATATAATTCATAAAAATATCAATAAAAGAAAATAATTCACTGCAGAACAAGTGCAACAAAATAATTCACTGCAGAACAAGTGCAACAAAATAAGATGTAGAAATAATCACTGCAGTAATAAAGTGTCACTGGGAAAACTCAGGTTAAATAATGAAATAAAAATATGAAGAAAAAAACTGATTGAACACTTTAACTCTTAATTGTAAATTAGACAAAACAATTTACTCAAACAGAGTAAAGAAAACACTTTACGGTAAAAGTAATTGAAATTACATCAAGAGTGAATTTGTTCAAAGAAATATAAAAATATGAATAAAAATAAAACAAAGGAACAAAACGGGTAGTGTAACACTTACAGTGGCAAGGCACACAA